GCAGGCCATGGCAAAGGTAGGGCTGGGCTTTTCTTCCCGCAGAAAATTTCCAATTTTTGCGGCCAGGCCTCCATGGCCAAAAGTGGGATTCTGCCTCTCAAAGTTGGGAATGTCTCAGGGTTGCTCCCAGACAAGAATCCGACGGGTTTTGAGCTCCCAGGGCCACCTCTCATCTCCCCCAGAGGCAGCAGAGTGCCGGCTTTTCCTTCCTGTGCGAAGGAGCTGTCGTTTGCAGCAGGGCACTCGTGGAGGAGAGTGGGATTCTGCCTCCTAAAATGTTTGAGGATTTCTGCCAGATGAAATCTGCCAGGACCAGTCTGGCTGGCCTTGGGCTCCTGGGAGTCCCCTCTCAGCTGCCCCCAAGGCACGGGGTGCTGGACTTCCCTTCCTGTGCAATAAAACCTTCCTTCACGCCCAAGTATCTGCGATTCCGTGTCCTAAACTGCAAATATTTGAGGATTGCTCCCAGAAAAAGCTGCCAGGACCGTGGATCTGCCTGGCTGTGGCCTTCTGGGGGTCGCTTTTAGCTGCCCCAGAGACTCTGGGTGCTGGACCTTCCTTCCCATGGATGAAAATCATCTTGCTAGGTCAAGTACCAGCAGTCGAATAATAAATACAATATATGAAATAAATATGAAAATATATTAAAATATATGAAAATAGATGAATAAATGTATGAAATAAATGCACCTCCTAGAACTGCAGAAGTTCAAGGATTGCTCCCAAACAAAAGCTGCCAGGACTGACAGGTCTGAGACTCCCAGCTCCACCTCTCAGCTCTTCCCAAGACCCTGGAACACCTGACTTTACTTCCTGTGGAAAAGACCCATCCATCACAGAGAGGCACCTGTGGCAGAAAATGGGATTCCACCTCCTAAAACTGCGAATGTCCCAGGATTGCTCTCAGATGGAAGCTTCCAGAAGCCATGTCTGGCTTGCCCTGGGCTCCCAGGGACCTCATCTTGTCTGCCTGCACTGGGGTTATTTAAAACTCCTCTTTAGGGTTAGATTTTGGGTTAGACTTAGGGTTTTCTTGGAGTAGTTTTTATTTTTTTAGCTTTAGAGTTATGGTTTGGGTTCAGGTTTCTGCTTTAGGTTAGTGTTGGGTTAGGTTAAGGTGAGAGTTTTAAGGTTAGGGTATGAGTGTTATGGGTCTGGGGTCCTGTTTGTCCTAATTAAATAGTTATTTAAAACTATTTAAATTATTAAATGAAGTGGGGTTAGTTAAAACTAAAGCGTATTTTATGGGTTATTGTTATTATATCTTTAATTTGTATTGCCCTCAATATTTAAAAAAATAATTTAGTTAAGGGAACCCTCTCCTCCTGGGTCACTGTTTCAGCAGCTGAATCGTGGTGGGAGGGAACCCCAAGAGAAGTTTGATTTATCTGAATTCCTAGCTCACCCTTTTCCCTCAGCAAAACAAAAACTGGGGAATTGTGATGTGTTTTTATTGTTAAATGTTTGTTTATGCCACTGGTTGCCCCTGAATATCTTTCCCCCCCTTGAAATGGAAGTTCTCCCCACCTTTCTCCTGCCTCACTCACCCCAAGGCCCTTCCCTGTTTTCCAGAATGGTCCATGTCAATCCCTCCCTTGTCCAATCACCCCAATTTCCCAGTTGCCCATCATTGTAAACCTTGCCCTTTGTTCCAGACCCTTCCCTGTCCATCTCCCAGCCCTGGAGGCCCCAGTGGCCGAGGTGACTGATCCTTTCCACCCCCTCATCCCTGGTGGTCCCAGCACTGGAACCCCCTCCCCTGTTCCTCCCTCTCGGGCTCCCCATTGATTGTTTGTACCTCCCATCAACTTGAGTTGTATAAAATCCCAAACACAGCGGTGGTTCCTGTCTCCTCTGGAGAAAAAACCTCTGGATTTCACACCAAAGACCCCTCTCTTTCTTTTTCTCTGCTCCTCAGCACCAGCCCCTCTTTGCTGTTGTGCCCTAGCCCACGTTTTCTGAGCAAGCTGCTCTCCAGCCTGTGCTGCTTTCTGGGGCAGCCCACCCTTGTTGCAGTGCCCGGAGCTGGCTGGACAGGAAGGTCAGTGCTGTGACACTCTCCCTCCTCTGACGCAAAAAACTCTCATTTGCAGCCCAGTACCCCCAGTCAAAAGTGGAATTTTGACTGCACAAACTGGGAGCATCTGATGATTTCTCCCAGGTGAGAGCTGCCAGGACCAGCAGGTCTGGCTGGCCTTGGCCTCCCTGGGAGCCTCTCCAACGTCCTCGGGCTTTGGGCTTTTCTTCCTGTGGAAAAGAGGAATCCTCTGCTGGGTCTGGGGCCAAATGTGGGATTCTGGCTCCTCAAATTGTGAATGAGCAAGGATTGCTCCCAGGAGCTGCCAGGAGCAGCAGGTCTGGCTGGCCTTGGCCTCCCAGGGCTGGGTTAGGGGTTAGGGTTGGTGTTATGATGAGGGTTGGGGTTAGATTGGGTTTGCTTTTCATTTGGGCTTTTGTTTTAGCTTTGGTGTTACTGCTTTGGGTTTGGATTAGGGTTCAGGTTTAGGGATTTTCTCAGGATTATCATTAGCATTGTCTTTAGGGTTAGATTTTGGGTTAGACTTAGGGTTTTCTTGGAGTAGTTTTTATTTTTTTAGCTTTAGAGTTATGGTTTGGGTTCAGGTTTCTGCTTTAGGTTAGTGTTGGGTTAGGTTAAGGTGCGAGTTTTAGGTTTAGGGTATGAGTGTCATGGGACCAGGGTCCTGCTTGTCCTGGCAGCTTTTGTCTTGGAGCAATCCTCAGATGTAGCGAGTTTTGGAGTTTACATTTGAATTTCAGAGCTCCTGTGGGAGAATTGCTGATCTTTCCCATATAATAAAAGCCTCAGTGTTTCTGGTGCAGATTCGGGGCTTCCCACTGTATGTAAAAACCAGCAGGACCTTCCTGTGCTGCCACCAACCCTGGCACCCACCTGGGCTCTCGTTTCATCACCCAGCCCTGTCTTTACATAACTGTCTCAGAGCCTCCTGACTTTTCCAGGCAGCAGATTATGGCACATGGCTCCCAGGATGACTCCTTAAGCCCTAAATCTGCTCCCTGTCCTTCCCTGAGGTAAGGCAGAGCAAGAAGGTGGCAGGAGGTGTCACAGCAGGGTGACACCGTGGTGACCATGCCACGGCTGGGGTGTGGACGTTCAGGATTCTGACGTCCAGCTTTGGGAACCTCATGTTCAGCACCAGGATCTTTACATTCAGCACCAGGATCTTTACATTCAGCACCAGGATTCCCAGTCTGTGCTTCCCAGCACAGAGGAAACAGCTGGGATCCTTCATCTGATCCTTATTTTCATGTTCAAGGATGCAGCAAAGTGCCCTTTGGGACTCTGCTGAAAACGGGGAACGCGGCCTCCCACGATTTGCCTTGGCACCAAATTCTTGCCTTTTTGGCAAGAAAATAGCTGATCCAGGGCGTAAAAATGCTCTTTCACAGATCTCTCAGTCCAGATGGCCCTTGAACTTCAGGAAGCACATAAAAACCAATCAACCAACCACACAAACAGCAACAACAACAACAAACGCTTTAAAGCTGAAGATGAGAGAACTGTCGGGCTTCACGTGTAATTGGGGAAACAATTTTTGCAAATCCTGGGCTAAGGCTGCACTTAGAGCTTTGGAATTCATTCCCAGTGGAGCAGGAGGGATGGAAACTCCAAAGCACCTTTAAGGGGAAATCACAGAGTTTATTTAACACATGTACAGATGTCCAAGCCCTAGAGTGCAGCAGCTTCCCAGAATTATCTGCTCAGCCAGTTCACCTGGGTAGAAAGTCAGGTGGAAGGAGTTTCTGTGGTTTCAGCAGAGCCTGTGGGACTGCTCAGGCAGCGCTGTCACAGCAGAGTGAGACAGGTATAAAAATACAGCCCAGGGCTCCCAGCAGCTCCTCGGCTAAAGACACTAAATCCTGTCCTGATCCTGCTCAGGGTGGATGCAGCCATTTTAAGCCACAGTTTAATTTAAGATCTCTTGGGTAGCTGAGCCCACGTCAACGTGCAGGTTGTCACAGCTTTGGTGCCAAAAGGCCACCTTAGCCACAGAGCACAAACCCGTTTCTCCCTGCAGAGGGTACAGAGGGACATTCCACAGTTGCCTGGTGACTTTTCCCTGCCGGTTGTGGCCGGGATGCTGCCCAGCTGAAGAGGGACCCACGGGGAAGATCTGAGCAGCCCCAGGGAAGATCAAGGTGAGAGGATCGTGCTCCATCCCCAGAGCCTGCTTGGGAACATCTAAGGGGTGGGAAAGTTTAGTGGAATTTTGAGGGCTTTCCTCCTTTCGTGGCACCCATCAATTAATTGCTGGTTTCTGTTCGGAAGCGAAAGGGTTTAATCCCTGCTGCCAGGCTCAGCCAGTGTGTCCCTGCCCACAGCTCCTGTTCCAGGGCTGTCCTGTGTCCTGGGGGAGCCAGGAGCTGCTCCCGGCTGCTGCACTGGGAGAAGTCTCTGATCTGTTGGGATGTGCCCTGGATAGATGGGGAGGGTGTCTGGGAAGGGCTCAGAGCCTGTGTGTGGCACTGAGGGGGTGCACGTGTCCTTCCTCCTGGTGCTTTGCACAGCAGCCCAGCTGTTCAGTTCCCCACGCACCTCTACAGCCCTGGAGCCATTCCCAATCCCATTCCCAATCCCATTCCCAATCCCATTCCCAGTCCCACCACGCCCTGGACCCACTGCCCGGACTGTGGGACACTTTCCCCCCTCTCACACTCCCAAGGTGTCCCCCTGTTTTTCCCGCTGTGCCGTGGGGGGCTGCTCCCCCCGGGGGTGTCCCAGCCCCCGGACACCCCCGTGAGCGTTTGTGGGGGACGGAGCCCGGATTGCCGGGCTGTGCCGGGGGCCGGGAGGCAGCCGAGGATTCCCAGTGGGATCGGGGACTGCGGTTCCCACGGCCCCTGTGTGTCTGTGCAGGGGGAGTGCCAGCCCCGAGTGTCCCCTCGTCCGCCCGGGAGAGGCTCCCGGCCCCAGGCGGGGCTCGGGGCCAGGCTGGGCTCGCTCCCCCCGCCCGGCCCGGATGACAGATGCCTGCAGTGGAGGAGAACGTGCTGCAGCTCCCACTTCCAGCCTGGATGCCTCCGACCCGGAGCTGCACTATGAGCAGGAGGAGGAGGAGGAGGACACATCGTCAGGATCCTCGGAGCCCTCGGACACCAGCAGCATCTTCTCTGACGACTCTGTCTACCCTTGCTATGAGGCGTCCCCAGAGGCTGACGGTGCCGGCTTCCTCAGTCTCTACCAGTGCTGTGCCAGGAATGATGCCAAGCTGGTGTGGGACAGGCTGGAGCGTGGGGTGACCCGGAGTGAGGCCACAGAGCTGGACATCAACGGGAGGGTGAGCTGGGCTGGGTGAGGTGTGCACCCTGCAGAGCAGAAAGAGGATTTTCCAGGAACGGGCAAATCCTGAAGGCTGGTGGTTGCTAAAGTGGGCAGGAGGGAGAGGCCTGGATGGAATTGGTCTCCTGGGATTGATCCAGTCCTTGGAGCAGAACCTTGTCTGCTCTCCCATCCTGCACCCACCAGGTTTGGGTGGGGGGACAGTTCGGGAGGGCCGTGGGAGCAGCGTGGTGGGAACATGGAGCTGGAGCTGAGCGTTGTCCCCTCTCCAGAACGGGCTGATGGTCGCCTGCTCCAAGGGCTTTGTGGACATTGTGCCGCTGCTGCAGAGGTGTCCCTACATCAACGTCAACCAGCAGGACAACGACGGGAACACGGCCCTGATGATGGCTGCCCAGGCAGGTCAGCACTGCGCCCGGCCTTGGCACAGGCAGCACCCTCAAGAAGGGATGTGACCCCCTGTGCTTCCCCCAAAAACCCTGAAAGGGCCTGTGGTGAGAGCCGTGCTGCCAAGGGATGTGTGACATCAGCTGCATTCATGGTTCAGCTCAGCACTGCTTTCAAACTGATGTGAAAATGGAGATTCTGCAGCGCTGCTCCCTCAAACAGAGCTGGGCTGGAGCTGCCCCGTGTGCTCCAGGAAAGCTCCGGGAGCTGCAGGGATTTACCTGAGCTCTGAGCTCTGTGTGGGACCCAAACCTCCAGTCTGGCTCCCTCCCCCTGATTTAGCAGGAGGGGAAGGAGATGGATCCCAAAATGGGGATCACCCTTGATTCCCATTTATATCCTTGCTAGAATTCATTATTTTATGGGTTTTTTTGTATTTTTGGACTCTTTCCTGTGTTCTCCACTAAAGCAGCTGTTTCATCAGCGCTGTTCCATCCATGCCCAAACCAAAATAGACCCAAACCCTTTCAATCCCGGCCCCTTAAACCTTCTGCACCTGCATCCTCACGGAATGCAGCTGCTAAATCCTTTGTCCAACAGGCCCCAGCCATCGTCACTGTTACCTGTGGGAACTCTAACGCAGCTTCTCTCTGGCTGTTAAGGACACATCACCATTGTCAACTACCTCCTCAACTACTACCCGGGTCTCGAGGTGGACCAGCGAGACCCCCGGGGCCTGACGGCGCTGATGAAGGCGGCGGTGCAGGGGCGGCAGGACTGCGTCACCGCCCTGCTCCTGGCGGGTGAGCGTCCCCCGAGCCTCGGCCGGGTCCCTGGGGACGGCTGGCACTGCTGCTCAGGGTGGGGTGGGTGCTGATGATGCCTTGGAGTGGCTGCCTGGAGCAGAGGCTAGACAAGGTTAAGAGAATAAAGTGGGTATTTATTAAAGGCCTTCAATAGATACAACTTGGGCTGTCAAAACTCTCCCAGAGGCTACACCCAGGATGGATGCTGGGCACGAGTTTTTCACACAGATCTAACTTTGGTCCATTTACATCTCAAGGGTTAATCCTCCAATTAAAACTCCAGGTAATGAAGTCACATTCCCCCAGTTCACTCCCCACCAATTCACTTTTGTTTACACTTTTTGGGGCCTGAGGCTGGAGGGTGTCCTTGAGTTTCAGGCCTAGAGGGATTGTTCTGTCCATCCCAAATGTGAACACAGCAGCGAACGCTTCACATGGGAGTTTATTTAGAGTTATGCACTAATGCAGTCCAGGGATTGAAAAATATAAATGCTGAAATCCTAAGGCATGGTGATGCTCTGTGCTGTCTCCAGGAGCTGACCTGCAGGCCGTGGATGCCGTGAAGGGGAAGACAGCCAGGGAATGGGCGAATTTCACCGGCCGCTTCGAGACCACCGTGCGCATCCGGAGCCTCCTGCGGCGCCCGCGCGCGGAGCAATTCGGAGCCCAGTACCGGCCCGAGTGGCCGGCCCTGGCCGAGCTGGTGGCCAAGGCCCTGAGCCCCAAATCCAGGAGCAAGAGGCTGTCGGAGAAGATCCGATCCATTTTCACCTTCAACATCCCCCGCAATCCCGAGGAGGACGGTGTGATGGACCACATGGTGAGGATGACCACGTCCCTCGCCAGCCCTTTCGTGGCTACCGCTTGCCAAACCGTCTGCCCCGACAGCCCGCCCGAGGTGGGCAAGCGCAGGCTGTCGGTGCCGGAGATCCTCGGGCAGCACGTGCCGGATCCGGACGGCGAGTCCCAAACGTCCTCGCGCCCCGGCACCGGGGGATCGTCCTGCAACGGCCAAGCCACGTCCGAGGGGCGGCTGGTTGCGCCGCCGCGGCCGCCCAGCCGCCTCCTGAGCTTCCTGCCGCTGTGGCTGCGGCGTGGGAACAGCATCTTCCCCGGGGAGCCCGTCCCAAAAATCAAAGTGAGCAAAGCCTCTGGCTCGTCCGCCGGGGAGCGGAAGCCACGCGTGAAGGACAAGCACCTGCTGCAGCCGCCTCAGTGGAGGTACAAGATGCTGAAGGAGGAGAAGAAAGCGGCCGAGGAGGCCAAGACGGGGGAGAAGAAGAAGAAAAAGAAAAAGAAACGTTAAGAAAAAGAAAAAGAAACGTTAAGGAGGGAGGTGTCGGGGTGGGGACGAGGTTTTTGCTGTCCCCTTGGATCCGCTGGCTTTTCTGGCACAGGGGTGGTTTTGTTCCCGGTGGATGGGAATGTCCGAGGGAGGAGGATGATGTGGGCGGACACACCCAGCTGAAATATCCCCGAGGGTTCACAGGCCCCTGCCTGGCCTCTTGTCCTCTCCACCCCAAGGGTGGTACATGTTGTGCTGGGCACTGATGTCCTGAGACCCTGGCCCAAGCCCCAGGGATGCCAGGGAGCAGGATTGTGGCACAAGTCCTTCCTGTGTTTTTTCCTCTTTCATTTTTTTTCTTTTTTTTTTTTTACCTCTTTGATCTTCCCGAGCTCTCGATTCCACAGCGTGCGTTGGAACGTGGCTGAGCAAATTAAAATGGAAGTGGTTGCCATGTTAACAGGATTGATTCCATGAATAAAGCTCAGGGTGGCTGTGGGGCTGGCAGGAATGCTTCCCCCTTTGCTGCCGGTGTCCCCTGGCCACCCTGTCACCTCCTCGGTGACATTCCCCACTGCTGTGGGCTCCTGGGTGGTGGATGGACACAGCAAGGCTCAGCACAGGGAGCAGCTCCATGCTGTGGAGGGAGCACCAGCTGCAGGCACAGGATGGAAACCAAGCTTGGGATACTCGTGGGCTCCATCCCCAGCTGCCCCCAGAGCTCCAGCTGCAGGGTGCTGGTGCCCCCATATTTCAAGATCCCCTAAAACCCAGCTCCATCCCAGGGTGTAGGGATGTGAAGCTGGGGTGCTGGCTCCTGCAGCAGGGCGGAGTGTGACTCCAGAAGGACAGTGAGCAGTGTCACAGTGCTCAGAGCAAAAGTTACACAGGTCATAAATAATTCCTGGCCGGCTGTGGAGCCCCCTCCCTGCACCACCCCCTTTTTAGGGGGACAGGAGTCCACACTCCCCACTTTGAGGTTGCAGCTCTGCCCTTTGTGGGGCGCTGGGAGGTTCGGGCTGTGCCGCAGGAGGGGAAGGATTCCCGTGGGGAAGGAGCTGCAGCCTCCCCGTCTGTTCCCCTCCATCCCTTGGCTCGCTCGGGCTCCCCGGCACGTGGCTGCCCTCCTTCGCCAGCTCCCTGCCGCTCGCAGATGAGCCGGGGGCGGACGGCACATGGAGCAGCCGTGGCATGAGCCTCGCCAGCCTCGGGGGGAAGGGAGAGACGGGCTCCCACCGGCCCCTCTGCCCCCTCTGCCATGGGGAATCGCTCAGCGAGACCCCAGGGGACGGCTGGGTGCACATGGGGAGGCTCCGGCTGTGGTCCAGGGATGCCCCTTCCCTTCTGCAGGGTGAAATCACAGCGATGAGCACCGGGGTGATGAAGGAAAGTCTCGTTTGGCCTCAAGGGGTGACGGGAGGTTGTAGCAGGGCTGGCATGGGACTGTGGGTGGTGCCCAGCCCTGCTGATTCACCCTGTGTGCCCCAGACAAGGGCTGGGAGTGGGGCAGGAGCCTGCGGTGCCTTTGATTTGCCCATCTCGAACCTCTACAGTCAATCCCTCCCTGGAGTCTCACACTGACAGCACCAGAGCTGCAGCTGGGCCCGGGGCTCCCACCCATCCCTGCCCTTCCAGTCACCCAGGATTAGGATTTAGGAACTTTTAGAAGTTTTTAAGCATCCCTTCAGTGATGATTATGAGTTAAAAAGGACCCGTTTGAGAGATGGAGTTGTAGGGATCAAACCATCCAGCAGCAGCCCTTGCTGGAGAGCTGGCCCAGAATAACTCCTGCCCGCAGCCGTAAAAGCAGGATGCCCTGTGTCTGCTCCCATGGAAGGGATGCAAGAACCATCCAGGAATAACCCTGGGAGGGGCCAATCCGGCCGGATCGCTGCGCCCCGCCTGCCGGAGCAGAGATGGTCAGGGAGATAGGATGTCTGCAGGCATCAGCTTCCCCCGGGCAGCTCCAATCTGATGGAAACTGCCCGTTTCCCCCGCGCCGCTTCTCAAAGCTCCGGGTCCCGCACGGGCAAAGTCACGTGTGAAAGTCCTTCATGTTTTATCCTGGTTTTGTGCTTTTGTTTGTTTAAACTTCCTAGATCAGGGCTGATAGCGGCTGGCGAGACTCAAAGCTCCGCCGCCGGCGCTGGGAGGCTCCGGGTGGGTTCGTGGTGCTGCTGGGGCTGGGGATGCGATGGCAGCGGGGAGGAAAATCAGGCCCTGGCACCTCGCTAGGAAAGGGCTGCGATGCGGGAGAGGGTCACCGTGCCAGGGAAACAGAAAAGCAAGAAAGCAGAAAGGCAGTGATGGGGCTGGAGGGAGAAGTGGGGAGCGGGAGGAGGGAGAAGCAGCTGAGATTGGGGTGGCCCAAAGAACAGCCCTGAAAGCGGCAAAACGGGAAGCGGCGCTTCCGCTGCCCACGGTCCCGTGTGCTCCGGGGGAGCGGGAAGTGCCCAGCCCCAGGCCGTGGGAACGGCCCTGCCCGCGGTGTCCCAGTGCCTGTCACCGTGGGGACAGCGGGGACGTGCCAGCACGAGGCTCCCAGTGAAGCCCCTTGGCCACCGTGCCCTGCTCATGGCCAGGGCTCCGCATCTCCAGCCCGGGGTGAAACCCTCTCCCGCCCTCCCGATGCCTTTATGGGCTACCCAAAAACAGAGGCCAGACAAAATTAAGGGAATAAATATTTATTGAAGGGCATTCAGGTGCATTTTGGTACAACATGGATGATGGGTCAAGGGTTTTCATACTTTTATAGGTTTGGTCCGTTTTTGGGTGTAGCCTCTGGTGGGGCTTTGTCTGCCCAAAATGTACCTGAATGCCCTTCAACAAATAAAAACACTTTTACTCCTTTAATTCTGTCTGGCCTCTGCTTTTAGGTAGCCCAAGAAGGCATCACTGGCACTGCTGGGTCCAGCACGGAATAACCAGGGAGCCCCTTGGCTCTGGCACGGTGCTCCATCCCCATGAGGGCTGGAGCAGGAGGGGTGGCCAAGCCGGTCAAGGTCATTCCCACAGCATCTCTCTAGAACATTCCCATCCCTGTCAAAGCAACCAGCTGTGCTACTGCTGAAGACCTTGGGATGCTCAGGGTGAAGTGGTGATGGCCATGTCCATGCCATGGGATCGGGTTTGCCATGAAAACTGGGTGGGAAAGCACTCGGTGAAGGACAAGGAGGGAGCGACAGGCGAGGGAAAGCAACCAGGATGGAGCTGGGGCCCGGTGAGCGGGAGGAAGGGAGGCTGGTCGTGGCTGTGTGCTCAGCAATAGGAAATGCTTTATTAGCTGGGAGTGGTGGAGAGAAGCCAGGCAGGAAGAGGCAGTAATAAGAAACATTTTTTTGACTTCTCCCACATCCAGACCACGGAGCAGCTGCCAAACGGCTGCGTTGGACAACGGGGTGGCCGAGCCGAGCCCCGCAGCCAGGCCGGGGAGGGTGACAATCTCCCAGCGGGACGGACACGGCCGAGGGAGCCCCACGGTGACACGATGGGTGGTGGGAGGGGAGCAGATCCATGAAGATCCTCGGAGTTGGGGCTCAGGGCACGGAGCAAAGCTGCCCCGGCTGAGGCAGATCCAGAGCGGGATCACGGCCGCGAGAGCCTCGGCAGGGCCGGGAGTGCCGCGGGCTCCTGCAGGACGTGGATGCTGAAGGTGAGTGGGGAAGAGCCACACGCTCACGGGGTCTGGGGCTGCACCGAGCTCAGGGCTTCCCTCCTGATTTACCCCCAAAATCAGGATTTGGCCCCATTTCCTTTGTGTTTCATGGGACGCCGGTGTTGACATCAGGGCTAGAGAGGCTGGAATTTGGGCCGGGGCACAAATGAGGGTTCACATCAGTGTGGTGGTAGCAGGATCTGTCCCCAGGTCCTTGCTAAAGAGCTGGAATAATAAGCAACAGCAATGGAAAGGCTGGAATCGACATGGGAAATGGGGAATTTGGGTGTATTTTGAAAGGGCACAGGGAAAAACGAGGGGAAGCTGACAGCTCAGCTCAGCTAGCGAGGGCTGCAGCAGCACAGAATGTGTCACCTCAATGCTCCCCTTGTGCACAGCCATGTCCCTCAGGGCAAGGAGGACACAAATGGTCACTAAAGAGGCTCCGTCTCCAAATCCGAGCTGGGGAGAGCCCCACTGGGGAGCTCTGCCACAGAGCTGGAGCTGGAGCCTGGGCAAGGCCGGGACAGCCACAGTGCCCTTGTCCCCCTCTGCTCCAGGAGCCACAGGCGATGTCCAAACCAAGGGGAACCTGACAGGGTCTTGTTGTCCTCCTGAGTGGGTTTTGTTGCTCTCTGAGTGGGTTTTGCTGTTTTCTGAGTGGGTTTTGCTGCTCTCTGGGTGGGTTTTGGTGTTTTCTGAGTGGGTTTTGCTGCTCTCTGGGTGGGTTTTGGTGTTTTCTGAGTGGGTTTTGCTGCTCTCTGGGTGGGTTTTGGTGTTTTCTGAGTGGGTTTTGCTGCTCTCTGGGTGGGTTTTGGTGTTTTCTGAGTGGGTTTTGCTGCTCTCTGGGTGGGTTTTGGTGTTTTCTGAGTGGGTTTTGCTGCTCTCTGGGTGGGTTTTGGTGTTTTCTGAGTGGGTTTTGCTGCTCTCTGGGTGGGTTTTGGTGTTTTCTGAGTGGGTTTTGCTGCTCTCTGGGTGGGTTTTGGTGTTTTCTGAGTGGGTTTTGCTGCTCTCTGGGTGGGTTTTGGTGTTTTCTGAGTGGGTTTTGCTGCTCTCTGGGTGGGTTTTGGTGTTTTCTGAGTGGGTTTTGCTGCTCTCTGGGTGGGTTTTGGTGTTTTCTGAGTGGGTTTTGCTGCTCTCTGGGTGGGTTTTGGTGTTTTCTGAGTGGGTTTTGCTGCTCTCTGGGTGGGTTTTGGTGTTTTCTGAGTGGGTTTTGCTGCTCTCTGGGTGGGTTTTGGTGTTTTCTGAGTGGGTTTTGCTGCTCTCTGGGTGGGTTTTGGTGTTTTCTGAGTGGGTTTTGCTGCTCTCTGGGTGGGTTTTGGTGTTTTCTGAGTGGGTTTTGCTGCTCTCTGGGTGGGTTTTGGTGTTTTCTGAGTGGGTTTTGCTGCTCTCTGGGTGGGTTTTGGTGTTTTCTGAGTGGGTTTTGCTGCTCTCTGGGTGGGTTTTGGTGTTTTCTGAGTGGGTTTTGCTGCTCTCTGGGTGGGTTTTGGTGTTTTCTGAGTGGGTTTTGCTGCTCTCTGAGTGGGGTTTGCTGTTTTCTGAGTGGGTTTTGTTGCCCTCTGAGTGGGTTTTGCTGCTCTCTGAGTGGTGCATGGTCATGGAATGGAAATGCCCCTCAGTGATGGGGACTGGGCTGGTGGAGCCTGCTGGAGGGTGAATGCAGCTTTGCTGTGTCTGTGACCCACCTGCAGCTGTGAGCAAGGAAAGGAAAACCTCCACCTGTGCCTGAGACCAGGCTGGAGCCTTGGGATCTGTGGCAAAGCTGCTGCCAGCTCTGCCCCGCTGTCCATGCAGCCCTGCAGCCGGTACACACCTGGCTCACCTGGCTGGCACCAGCACGAGGGGCTGGGCTGTGTGTGACTCCCTGGGGAAAGGCAGCACAGGGAGCAGAGCCGTGAGCCACAGCCCGTGCCTAAACCCCCTGTCAGCTGCAGAAACCACAGGAGAAGGCACAAGAGCTGGGATTGAGGAGCTCAGCCAAGCTGCCCTGGTAAGAGCAGGGATCCCTGAACCATCCCACATCCTGAGGGTTGTGCCCTGCCACCCTTCCCTGAACTGATGTTGTTCCTGCTCCATTTCCCCTTTGCTTTTCTCTCCATGGAGGTGATGGGGAAATTCCCCTTCCCCGGGGTTTGTTCTTGCTCCAGACCCTCGAGCTGCAGCACAGCTGCCTCTTGCTCCCAACCACTCCTGCCAGCACCCATGTCCCATCCCAGAGGTTTCCTTGGGGTTTTTCCTTCTCCTGATGCTACAAATCCCAAAGAAAATAATATAGCAGCCAGCCAGGCAGGGTAAGATGCTCTGCATGTCGGGAGCTGCAGGTCCCGATGAGAAAGGAGGAAGGAAGGGACAGGGATGGCTATGCCAGGACTGGTTTGTGCCATTACTGAAGAACCTGGGATGTTTTTCCTGTGGGATGCCAGGAATGGCTCTGGATTAAGGTTTGCTCCCAGTAACAACGACAATCCATGGGATGTTTCATTTACATCAGAGTTTTGGGTGACGCCCTGCCTGCTTTGTATTTCATGGCAAATATCCTGCAGCTGTCTAATGGTTCAGGATTTTGGAAGTGGCTCCAAGGAGGGAATTCTCCACCTGGGAGACTCAGCTTCCCTTTTAAAACATGCATCCTGGAGCTCTCAGGATGGCGAGAAGTGTGGTGTTCAGCAGCATCCTGGCAGTCAGGAATCAGCAGCCCTGAGTTTTAAAATAAAGCAGATCCCAGCCCAGCTCTGAGCGAGTTGGGATTTTAAACAAAGCCGATCCTGGCCCAGCCGAGGGTCGGATGGATCAGCCTGACCTCGCTCCTCACACCGAGGAGCAGCCCCCAGCTCCTGCCCTCAGCCCCAGGACCCAGGATCTGTTTCCTCCCCCTGAGCAACAACCGAGTGAGTTATTTCGGGGAGGAAAAGCCCGATTTCCAGCACGGCTGGAGCCTGCCGGGGTCAGCCACGTCCGTGTGCGCTCCCGAGGGCCGGGCTTGCGTGACTCCTCTTCCCCATCAAGGCCAGAATCTAAACAATCTTGATTCCTGTCCCAGCAGCCCTGGGCTGGGCTCTTCAATTGCAGGAAACGGAGCCTTTGGCATGTTTATGTCGGGAACACGAAGAATGAGCCGAGGAGGGGCCGGGGACTGCGGCCATGGAGCGAGGCGGGGGGCAGCGGGGGGATCTCCGTGTTTGCCTTGGCAGAAATGGCTCTTTCACAAGGAGAAAAAAAAAAGGAAGATTAAAAATAGCCAAACTTCCCCCAAAGGCTCAGCAAGGAATTTTTGGCTGTCCCAGCACCTCTGTTTGTGTCATTGATAAGCTCCACACAAAAGCACCCTCAGGACCGAGCCCCTGCCCGTGGCCAGCGGGAGATGTTGGGGCTTTGAGCTCCATCCCACAGCCCTGGAATCCATTCCAAACCTGGAATCTCCAGCGGTGCCGCGGCATCGTCAGCGCTGCCAAGCCCGTGGGGGCCGTGGTTTTACAGATCAGGAGCCACGGGAACAGCGGGAAGTGCCGGAGTTCGGATCACCGGGAGAAAGGAAGGAGGTTGGGGCTGGCAGATGTGGGAAGAGCCTGGTTCCAGTTCATTCCTGAGCGCTGTGGGACCGCGAGTGGGACCCCCTGCCATGGTAGGGAGGTCCCCCGAGCCTGGGAGGTGCCGGGATGTGCTGTCAGGAAGGGCTGGACCCAGGATGTGCGTTGGAAGCAGCACATCCCACCTCACTCTGCCCGCGGCTCCGCAAGATCCCCCCTGTCCCTTCCCAAAGCCCCCGGGGGTGCAGGGGCTGCTCTCACCCCTCTGCTCTCCGCAGGACGATGCCGGGTGGAGCCGGTGGCCGGGTGGTGCTGCTGCTGATGTCTCTGTCCCTCAGCTTCGCAGCCGGTGAGTGCCAGTGCACAGCAGGTTAAAATAAACCCTCGGGCTTTTTGGGATCATCTCTGCCCAAAATAAAACCCGGGAGGAAGCTGGGCTCCTCGGGGACTGTGCTGTGCCCCTGTGTATGGTGAGCCATCCCCCAGAGAGGATCTCAGCTTAATTAATTGTGGTTGATCAAGTGCTTTGCTGTCACCGGAGGGGAGATGGGGAAAGGCTGGTACCACTTACTGAAAAATGTGGGTTTCCCCACGGGGGATGATGATGGTGGTGGTGATGAAGAGGATGAGGATGATGGGAAGCAGGAGGAGCTGCTCAGCATCCCAGGGGAGCAGCAGGTGACCTGGGGACAGATCCAGGCTGGATGCTTTTGCAGGGAGGTCCAGGAGGATGTGGCAGTGCCAGGGAGGAGCAGCAGAACTTTCTGGGGGGATGAGTCTCCACCGAGTCCCTGTCCTGCCCACGGGGCCACCAACCCCAAACCGGCCCCGCCACCACCCCCTGGCACTGGCACCAGGCAGCCTTTGGGGCAGGGGGACAGGAGGTGCAGGAGGGCCACCAAAGCCACCCCCTTGCTGTCCCCTCACTGTCCCCTCACCACTGGATGTCTGGCTGCCCTCACGCTGAACTCACTGATTCCAGGAGGGATATTTTCTGTGCAAAAGGGCAGAGCTAAATTAGGAATTTGGGAGTGTGGCAGTCATCTGAGCCACTCTGGCACCGTGGCGTCTTCGGGGAAATCAAGAAAAACTCCAGGAAAGACCCTGGGTTTGGCACCCGGCTCCCAAAACACCCTCTGGAAAGGCACTGGATGAGTCTGGGGCTTTTGATCCCACCCCAGCTCCCGGGATCAGGTTCCCATAGGTCCCGTGTCCCCTGGGATTCCATGGCAGGATGGGTGTTGTAAACCAGTGCGTCCCAGTCAACCCCAGCTGCTGGGACTCGATGCACCCTCCATTCCACAGAGCCTCTTGGGGGTGTGGGGACAGGTGACCCCCAGGCTCAGGGCTGGGAACAGGTGATTTCTGGGAGGTGTCAGGATGGACAGCAGCCTTCCCCTCCTCCTCTGATGCTCCCAGGCTGCCCATGTCCCACTCTTTAGGACAATGTCCCTGTCCCCAAAGCCACCGGAGCTCCCGGGTGGGCAGCGGGGTGACCCCATGGCACAAGGTGTCCCCTCCTCGTGCCCGCAGAGGAGCTGCTGTGTGCCTGCGATGTGCCCCACTGCAGCCAGCCCAACTGCACGGGCAAGGTGTGCTTCGTCAGCAAGAGGAGGGAGGAGGGAACCATCACCCAGCACCGGGGCTGCTTCTCCCAGAACATCCTGGAGCACTGCCACACGCCCGTGACGGAGCAGTACGGCACGAGGTGCTGCAACTTCCGCATGTGCAACGCTGAGCTGGAGATCTTCCTGCAAGGTACAGGGGCAGGGGGACAGGAGACGGGCTGCCCACGTGGATGGAGACGTGGTTGGGTCTCAAGATTGTCCTTGTTGTCACTCAGCACCTAGAGAGCCGCCGAGATGTCCCCTGGTGTCCCTTCTTGGGCTATGCTGCCACCCATGGGGTTGATCCCAATGCAGGGACACTCTCCCCCAGGCCCAAACCCCAAACCTCCACCCTCCCTCCTGCTTCCATCCCTTGTTTCTCCCACCCAGGAGAAGATGCCCTGGTAAAGACGCCTTCCCTACCCAACCTCCTGCTGATGATCTTCGTCCCACTGCTCTCCCTCCTCGTCCTCGCGGCACTCACGGCGCTCTTCTGCTGGAAGGTGGCCCAGCACCGCCACAAACACAGTGATTTTGGTGACACAGACCTCATGCTGAAGGCATCCATGATGGGAGACAGCACCTTAGAGGTGGGTGAGCTCCACGAGGGACCCTAAATGTCCCCAAGGTGTGTGTGGGGATGGTGGCCATGCTGACCCCACGGGCACCCTGCGTGCACAGGAGCTGCTGAACGATGACTGCACCACGGGCAGTGGTTCTGGGCTGCCTTTCCTCGTCCAGCGCACGGTGGCTCGGCAGATCACCCTCATGGAGTGTGTGGGTAAGGAGAGCAGCTGAGGTGGGGGAGGCTGCCCTGGTCACCCCCAGCTGGTGCCTTCTTGTAATGCAGTTAGGAGAAATGGTATGACCCAAAAAATGTACCCCCAAAAATGTAGAATTTTAAGTTTCTTTTCCTTATCTTGTTCTCCCCATTTCCCCTTATTGGTTGTGTGAATTCCTTCCACCCCTTTCCCCCCTGCCTTCAAAAAGGGGTGCTTATCCTCTTCCTCTTTCCCTCCTGCAACCTCACCCTGAAGGATCCCAAGAAATAAAGCTGTGACTGCCATCTCAGCTAAGGGAAAGAGCTCGTTTTTAGGATCTTCTTTGGCAAGCTAAATCTATCTCCCCTGTCTCCCTGATTGCTGTGGGGCGGGCAGTAGTGGCAGAGAGGCAGGGGACATTAGAAATTATAGCAGTGCCTGAGTGACGGCACTGCAGCTTCAAACCCAGGAGGGGGAGTTGGACCCAACGGTGTCAGCCAAAAGCCAGCAGCAAGCCCAGGTTCATCGCCTGTCCTGCGGGCTGGGGAGGGAGGAGCAGCTGGGTGGGTGAGTGGATGTTGGCCAAGGTCAAGGAGCCGCGTGCTGCTCCATCGCTCTCCCACGCGGGATCCGAGTGACGCGGTGCCACGGCTGCGGCAGGTAAAGGGCGCTACGGCGAGGTGTGGCGGGGAGTGTGGCACGGCGAGAGCGTGGCCGTGAAGATCTTCTCCTCCCGGGACGAGCAGTCGTGGTTCCGCGAGACGGAGATCTACAACACCGTCCTCCTCCGGCACGACAACATCCTGGGTGAGTGGGGGGCCAGGAGGGCCGGAGAAGTGGGGGCGGCCTCGTGGTGGCTCCACCATCCCAGGGGTTTCTCCATTCCAGGTTTCATCGCCTCTGACATGACGTCCAGGAACTCCAGCACGCAGCTGTGGCTCATCACACACTACCACGAGAACGGCTCTCTCTACGACTTCCTGCAGAGGACAGCCCTGGACGTGGAGACCTGCCTGGGCTTGGCCTCCTCCATCATCTGTGGCCTCGTCCACCTCCACGTGGAGATTTTTGGCACGCAAGGCAAACCTGCCATCGCCCACCGGGACCTGAAAAGCAGGAACATCCTGGTGAAAAGCAACCGGCAGTGCTGCATTGCAGACCTGGGTGAGACAGAGGGATGGGATGTGCTACCCCAGATGTGGCACTTCGGGGTGTGAAACGCCAAGGTTGTGATAGCCGGGGGTGTGGTACCCCCAGGATGAGGTACCCCAGGGGTGTGGTAGCCCCAGGATGAGGTACCCCGGGGATGAGGTACCCCTGGGATGAGGTACCCCTGGGATGAGGTACCCCGGGGATGAGGTACCCCGGGGATGTGTCACCCCAGGGGTGTGGTACCCCAGGGATGAGGTACCCCAGGGATGAGGTACCCCGGGGATGAGGTACCCCGGGGATGTGTCACCCCAGGGGTGTGGTACCCCAGGGATGAGGTACCCCAGGGATGTGTCACCCCAGGGATGTGTCACCCCAGGGATGTGTCACCCCAGGGATGAGGTACCCCTGGGATGAGGTACCCCTGGGATGAGGTACCCCCGGGATGAGGTACCCCAGGGGTGTGGTACCCCCGGGATGGGGCACCCCAGGGATGAGGTACCCCAGGGATGAGGTACCCCTGGGATGAGGTACCCCGGGGATGAGGTACCCCAGGGGTGTGGTACCCCCGGGATGGGGTACCCCAGGGATGAGGTACCCCAGGGATGAGGTACCCTTGGGATGAGGTACCCCCGGGATGTGTCACCCCAGGGATGAGGTACCCCGGGGATGAGGTACCCCGGGGATGAGGTACCCCGGGGATGAGGTACCCCAGGGTTGTGTCACCCCAGGGATGAGGTACCCCCGGGATGAGGTACCCCAGGGATGAGGTACCCCGGGGATGAGGTACCCCAGGGATGTGTCACCCCAGGGATGAGGTACCCCCGGGATGAGGTACCCCGGGGATGAGGTACCCCGGGGATGAGGTACCCCGGGGATGAGGTACCCCAGGGATGTGTCACCCCAGGGACGCGCTGCTCCAGGGTTGGGGAACCCCACAGATGTGACATTCCAGGAATGTGACATCTTGGGGATGGAATATTCCCGGGATGTGACGCCCCAGGGTGATGGTGCCACAAGGATGTGATGTCCTGGGGTTTTGATACCTCTGGGATGCTGGATGCAGCTTTGGAAATTTATATATTTATATATAGATATATATTTTTATATTTATATCTTTATATATCTATATTATGTTTTGATTTCTAATAATATAAATAATATTATATAATATATAATATTATATATAATTATTATAAATATATATTATTTAAATTATTAGAGTTGTTATTATTATATTATTATAATTGTTATTGTAATATTATTAGAATAATTATATATTATATATTAAATATATTATAAATATTGTATATTATTGTTAATATTATTATATAATATATTATAATTATGTTAATAATTATAATGTTAATATTATTATATATTATATATTATATTATATATTATTTTTCTATTAATATAATATAATATAATATAATATAATATAATATAATATAATATAATGTAATATAATATAATATAATATAATATAATGTAATATAATATAATGTAATATAATATAATGTAATATAATATAATGTAATATAATGTAATGTAATGTAATGTAATATAATATAATATAATATAATATAATATAATATAATATAATATAACAATGTAACAAATAATATTATATATAATATTTAGATATAAATATAAATATAGATATAAGTATAAATATAAATATAAATATAAATATAAATATAAATATAAATATAAATATAAATATAAATATAAATATAAATATACACTGACCAGGGCCGATATCCCAACATTTTATAGCTGAATTAATGACTTTAAAAGTCATCCCAAACTCTCTGTGACCTGTCCCCCCAGGGCTGGCGGTCATGCACTCCCAGGGCAGCGATTACCTGGACATCGGCAACAACCCCCGGGTGGGCACCAAGCGCTACATGGCCCCGGAGGTGCTGAGCGAGCAGATCCGCACCGATTGCTTCGAGTCCTACAAGAAAACGGACATTTGGGCGTACGGGCTGGTGCTGTGGGAGATCACCCGGCGGACGGTGGTGAACGGTGAGCGGCTCCCGGCTCCCCGCCAGCTCCGTTCCCTCCTTCTCTCCTTTTCTTGTTGCTTTTCTTTTTTTTTTCCCTTTTCCTTCGCCCAGAAGATTAGCTGTAAATTATAAACACTGTAATCTAGTGTCAGCACCCGGCTCTCTGATTAAAGGGCCCATTAGACTCAATCAGTGCTTTGTTTGTTCAGCGCTGATTAGAAAACAAGCGGCTCCGAGCGCTGCCTGGAAAGCGGCCACGGCCGGGACCTCCGGCCGCCGGGCTCGGCTCGGGAGCTCGGCACCGGGACAAGGGGTAGGGTCCCCCCGCCTTGGGGATGAACCTCACTGAGGCTGCCCGGCCAGCGCTGCTCATCACGGCAAAGTCCATTAAAAGCGTTAATTAAGTGGTGGGTGCTGGCGGGCGGGGCAGAGGGTCCCCCCAGGCGCAGTCTGGCGGGGATAATCTCATTTACGGCCCCAGAGGTCCCTCAGATTACACATTGACTGTGAATTACCCCAGCCTCGCGCAGGAATGACCTTCAGACAGCTGGGTTTAACCCTTCCAGGAGCCCTCACTCTCCAGGACGGCTCCAGGGGATTGGGGAGGGGAAACTCCAGGGGACCCTGAGGTTTTGGGGTCACCCCTTGGCGTGCAGGGAGCTGCTGGGGGCTCGAGGCTTCCCAGAGTCATTAAATCCCAGTTAGACACGGACATATGCAAGCATTAAGCAGAGATTAGCTGGGCCAGCTGGCAGGCTGACCACCAGGTGCTGAGTGGAGGTGGCCACAGAGCCAAGGGCTGCCTGGAGCTGGTGCTGGAGCCGATACTCGTGGTGGGGCTGGTGCTGGAGCCGGTGCTGGAGCCACCAGCGGTACCAGAACCAGCGGTACCAGAACCAGCACCAGCTGCCACCGTGCCCGGGTGAGGAACATCCCACCGGCCGCTCCCCACGAGCCTCCCAAGGCAGGGAGCAGCTGGGCTGTGCCGGGAAGCTCCAGGCCGCCCGTGGTGTGCAGGATGGGGGTGACGCCCTGGCTGTCCCCCGTCCTCACGCCACCCCCCTCCCGCAGGCATCGTGGAGGAGTATCGGCCACCCTTCTTCGACGCCGTGCCCAGCGACCCCAGCTTCGAGGACATGAAGAAGGTGGTGTGTGTGGACCAGCAGACCCCCGTGATCCCAAACCGCCTCTTCTCAGACTCGGTGAGTGCCGGGGGGACCGGCCCCCTCCCGCCCCGAGCCGGATAAACCCTTCCCTTTATCCCTCCTCTTGTGCCTCCCCAGGTGCTGTCGGCACTGGCGAAGATCATGAAGGAGTGCTGGTACCAGAGCCCCACGGCCCGTCTCACCGCCCTGCGCATTAAAAAGACCTTGAAGAAGCTGAACAATTCCGCAGAGAAGCCAAAAGCGGAGCAGTGAGAGCCGGGAACCGGACACCGGAGCCACGGACGGGCTGCACCGGGGACGGGATGGCTCCGGTCACAGAGGGGATTTGCTCGCAGCTCCTGCCTCGCCCACCTTCGAGCCGGTCGAATTTGCAAGCACGGAAAAAATAGGAAAAAAAACCCCAAACACCAAAGGAGGAATCTTCCACCCGGCCATAAAAATATCCCCTGGATCCGTCACCCGACACCGACGCGTCTCACTGTGCCGGCGGGGATGGCAGCTGCTCGCCCACCCCGAGTCCCCGGGCTGGTGCCAGGGCGAGGGGCAGCGATGGCAAAGCCCCCCCTGTGCCCCCCCCGGGGCACCCACCCAGCTCCGGCTCCATCGCCGGCCACCGAGCTGCCCAGTGTCGCCCTGAAAACTCCTCGGCAGAGCTGCGGTGCCCGGAGCACCCCTGGCTAAAGGAGGGAGAGGTTTTGCTGGGAAAGGATGGTCCAAGGGCAGCATCCCCCTGGTCGGGCCAGATCCGCACCCCGGATTGTGGGGATCCCAAAAATGAAGAGCTGCCGGCGTCCAGCGTGGCCTGAGAGTTCCACGTGCCGGATGGGGGTCCCGTGGTGATCCTTCCTCGCCGAGCAACCAGCATGCCCCTCGCCAAAGAACTGTCCTTTTGCCAATATTTTGGTGTTTTTCGAGGTGTTTTGGCTCGGCTGGCTTCATCCTGCATTGCTCCCTGCCATCCCAAAATCCACCCCATGCTTGGAGATGCTTGGACATGACCAGGATGGGACGTTCAGCAGAACCAGCTTTGCCACATAACTATTTAATTATTAAGATTTAATATATTTAATAAAGTGTAAAGCTATTTTATCACCTAAGAGCTGCCGAACCTCCCATGCTGGGCACTGGGCACCACAGCAGGATGGGCCTGGGCCCAATTTATGGCTTTAAATTGCCTCAATTTATGGCTTCACCTCCACGTCTCCAGCAGCACCGTTGGATCCCGTAATAAACCCGGCTCCAGCCTCGTGCCAACCCTCTCGTGGCTGCTCCAGGGGCCCACGGCCACCAGCCCTGAGGGGTTTGCACGGCCTGGGATGGAAGCAGAGCTGGTGTGGGATAACGTGGCCATTCAGGGGGTTCAGCTCCAAATGGTTCTCAGCACGTCACAGCTGCCACCTCGGTCTGTGCCCAGTCAGAGACTGGAAGGAACTGGGCAGCAAAGGGCAGCTGCTGGTTTTGGGCAGGAGGTTATGGAGGGTCTTGGGTGCCTTGATCTGGGCTTGGAGTGCTCAGGCTGGGGCTTGGAGTGTCCTATCCAGGGTTTGGGATGCCCAGCTGTGGTTTGGGGTGTCCTATCCAGGGTTTGGGATGCTCAGCCCATGATTTGGAGTGTCCTATCCAGGGTTTGGGATGCTCAGCCCATGATTTGGAGTGTCCTATCCAGGGTTTGGGATGCTCAGCCCATGGTTTGGAGTGTCCTATCCAGGGTTTGGGATGCCCAGCTGTGGTTTGGGGTGTCCTATCCAGGGTTTGGGATGCCCAGCTGTGGTTTGGGGTGCTCTAACAGGGTTTGGGATGCCCAGCTGTGGTTTGGGGTGCTCTAACAGGGTTTGGGATGCCCAGCTGTGGTTTGGGATGCTCTAACAGGGTTTGGGATGCTCAGCCCATGGTTTGGGGTGTCCTATCCAGGGTCTGGAGTGCCCAGCCCAGGGTGGCTCAGTCCCTACCCACCCCAAGATGGCACACCCACACTCCCACACCCTGCACACACACACCCTGCACACCTACACACACACCCTGCACACCTGCACACACACACACCCTGCACACACACACACACCCTGAACACCTGCACACACACACCCTGCACACACACAAATCATACTTACACACACACCCTGAACACCTGCACACACACACCCTGCACACTCCCACATCCTGCACACACACACACCCTGCACACACACACCCTGAACACCTGCACACACAAATCACACACACATCCTGCACACACACACACATCCTGCACAC